TGAAATGTGTCGGTTACAAATATCATGTTGTAAAATTATTTATTCTCCTTCACATGTTTTCTACATTTGTTGTTATAAATTGTTTACAACATACTTCTAGTATACTAGATTTTATGCTAGAGAAAGGTCTCCAAGTGATTTGAAGTAATTATTTAAAAAATTGTTAATCATTATTTTTTAAGTTCTAGACTACAAAATTGTGGTTAACCCATTGCTGCCGGGGAAAATGAACAAAAAAGGGGGGAAATGCAGTGCCTATTTTCTACATTTTTTTGTGAAATGTCTTGCCATAGATGGCTCTGTTAGTGCCTGATTTGAAATGGCGGGAAAAACGTATTTTTCACTAGTGCCATAAATATTGATGTTTTTTATCATTAGTAATAGCAAAATAAGATAACGTAAAATATTTTGTAAATCAAAGGATAGGGTGAACGGGCGAGACAGGCGGTAATCAACTTTATAACAGCCCAATTTGTCTATTACGACTTCCACAGGAATTAGTGGTATATGTACGCAGTGAGCAAATTTTAGGTGGAGATGACAAGGAACTCCGTCAGCGGAATAATTCAGGAAATCCACTAAATCAAGAAGGATATGCCTTGGGCTATGAAACATTCCGACAGCTGTTTTTGGCAGTGTCGCCCTGGGGACAGGGTGATCGTGCAGAGAGTTTAACAACAAGCATGTTTAACGTACGTTGCTTTGGCTTTTATGTACATTGGTTAATGGTGAAATGATTATAACCTTGAAATTGAAGTTAGTTTAGGAAGTACCCCTTTCCTTATTCAAGAAATAATATTTGTAGACAGTTTTACTGAGTGTCTTTATGATATATATATATATATATATATATATATATATATATATATATATATATATATATATATATATATATATATATACAATTAATTTTTAACTTCACATTTGTCATTAGTTTTCCTATTGGTTTGTTAATTTTTTTTATTACCTTTTACGGTGATCTTGAGATTCATATTCTGCGTATAATATCATCTTCTTTTTTTGACAGATGTTAGACGTTGATGGATCCCATGTCCTTAGTTTCCGGTCTGTGGCCTGGCTTTTTGGTGTCCTGTGTGGCAGAGACTTCGCTCGAAAGCTGCGATTATTCTACTACCTGCATTTAGCCTTCCCTCCAAACTTAGACGAAGTTGATAAGCCAAGAAAACGTAAGAAAAGAGAGTGTGTGTGTGTGTGTGTGTGTGTGTGTGTGTGTGTGTGTGTGTGTGTGTGTGTGTGTGTGTGTGTGTGTGTGTGTGTGTGTAAGCATGTGTGCTGATACATTTGATTAGTTATTTCCATGAAATTATGTTATTATTTTTGATATATTTAATTTTTTTTAAGTGATTTTTGGAATCAGGATAACTGCACTAAGGGTAAACATGATTTTAGTGTAACATAGTATTTAGAACAATGTGAATATCATTGTCTTGGCATTGATATAGAGAGACGAAAGAAATAATTAATGTCTGATGATAAGATTCATTAGTAAAGATCTGTAGGTTCTTATGATATATGACTTTTTTGATATTTTGATATTTGATTAAAATGCATAAATTAGACTGCTGTTTTCATATGTTACTTAATTAACTGTTGTATAAATGTTGTATGATACTTTCTACAAGCCATATTTTTGGTGAATTGATGTATGTATCTGAAAATGAAACAAGGAAGGAAGGGAAGTGAGGACATGTCTTGGTAAATTTGAATATCTTGTAGACAGTGATGTAACAGCTACAGTGTATATATTTCATAATCACAACCATAGCTTTTGTGTTGAGATAACTGAAGCAGATAGCAATATTTTAAGATGAAAAATGCAAATCTTACCTCATAATTAGTACTAAGTTATGTGCAGTTAAGATGATTTATTTAATATCTTCAGTCAGATTATGGATTTTATTCAGGATGTGCAAGCTCTTCAGAACAATACTATCTGAGCATGTTATCAAGGATTTGTTAGTGATAAATTGCTAGCATTCTTGTGCCTTTACAAGATCTTTTGTAATATGAAAAAAAGATAGATAGAACAAAGAAACCACTAAATATGAAAATAGAAGGATAGAAAATGAATGACTAGGGTGATCTTTCAACTTTTTCTCATATATATTTTCCAGCTGAGGAAATAGAGGAAGAGGCAGCTGTGGAGGCAGAGGAGTATTTCGACTTCATGGACGACTGCCCAAAGAAGGGGAAAGTCGACCTGGCGGTACCCGATGACACGGACTCCCACACGACAGAGACATCACCCAAGCAGGGTATGAAGAGCTATTAGGGGCATTTTGCATCTGTTTATTATGATTTGTGGGGGTTGTAACTGGTTTCTTTGAAGGCAAGAGGGAACTAGGCTGTGATCTTGTTAATCAGGGTAAGAGAAATAAAAGTAGTGTGTGTGTGTTGGGAGCTAATCTAACATTAAGAATTGGATCAGTTGACTCAGTTGAGGTGGCATTAGGTAGGGTTCTGCTAGGAGTCGGAAAGTAACTGGCCACCCTACTACATAGCTCTCTGCATGATGGCTTAGTTTGCAAGTTTGTATGTGGATTTCCCTTTTTAGATGGATTTGGGGGAAAAACTCCAGCCATTGATTTTTTTTTAAGGCAGGAAATTGTGCAAAAATTGGTACAGTAGGATAAAAATGAGTGGACTAATTAATATTCAGAAAATATTACAATTCTCACCTTTATCCCTCATTTCCAGATATTAGTGATTATGAATCTTGTAGTTAACAAAGTCTCATACTGGATGAGACTTGATTGTAATAATATTAGTGATATGATCTGAATATAACTATAAAGAATATGTAAATTAAAGTAAGATCAATAGGTCCAACATATTCATTAGACTAAGTATGGGATAATCATTGATTTTGACCCCTTCCTGTTGGGTCATTCCCTGAGGCCTCTTAACCAACAGCTCAATCTGTGGTGTGTGGCTGTAAACCACGGCTACGAGTCGGTGATTCGCCTTGATGCACCAAACTCCTGCGCTCAAAGTCAGCGCGTTGCTATTGATCTCCAGAATGTAGAGTTTTTTTTTTTAACCCAATGCTGACGGGAATGATGTGTACATATGTGCCATGCCCACTGTCAGTTACTTGTTTGATTGTTTTTACACATAGATGACTACACTTGTACTAAGTCACCAGTGAGCCAGTTACAAGTACTGCCTGTCTCACCCGTTTGCCCTTTTCTTTGATTTACGAAAATATTTTAAGTTATCTTATTTTGCTCTTACTAATGTTTATAACATTATAGTAATTATATTACTTATGATAAAAATAACACCATCAATATTCATAGCACTAGTAAAAGATACATTTTTCCTGCCATTTCAAATCAGGTAAGGTCACAAGGTCTAGTAATTGACTCCTTTGTGGCTAAGCACTAGCAGAGCCATCTATGTGTAGAGACATTTCACAAAAAATATAAAAAATTGAGCATAGCATTTTCCCCATTTTTTATTCATTTTCCCCAGCGGCATTGGGTTAATTTTCTTCACCCGTCATCAAGGGGTTAAGAAGCATTATTCAGAAAGACACCATATCCGGCGCATTAATTTTTATAACTGATTCCTTTCAGAATACTGTGATGCCTTGACAGGTCTGGCAACAATACACAACCGTGACTACCGCATGTATGAGCAGCACTTCTTACCCACCATGAACCAAGAACAGTTTATCAACATGTGGCGTTCTGTGTACAGCTTCTTTGCCCTCGAGACCAACCAAGACATATTCACATCACTGTCAAGAGTTGGTAGGTAGAGACTTTTTGTTTTTATTTATATATATACATATTTTTATCCCCTTTCTTCAATATTTGTAAACCCATATATAGTAATGAATGTGAAAATCTTCCCTTGCCTCTTAAATTCAATAGACATTTTTTTGATATGTTGCTGTGAATAGATATTGCTTTGTGACCTGAACAAGTTAGCATAATATGACGACTTGCAAAAATTTCTTGCAGAATATAACATTGTGGTGTGTGGTAAGAAACACGAGAGTTTCGTTATTGATGCAAGTAGTGTTGGATATTACTGTCACTTCTAATATTTTGTGAAAGTGACTGAGCCTTAGCTGACAGCTCAGCCCCATTATTCCAATTAAAGTGGATACAGCAATCATGCAGATCTGTTCTATCTGTAGAAATCCCAAATTCCTCTAGAAATTCCTATGGACCCAAAATTCTATGATTCAGATGGGGTGTTCTCAAGTGTTTACAGCTTAACAGTGTATTCACCTCTCATCCTGAACCAAGTAAAGGCAGTGTCACAAAGTGTACAAAGGCTTTCCACATGTCAGTGATTCACCCTGAATGCTAAGTTGAGTCGTCAGGTGAGACTCGCGTCTCTGATCACCCTTCCAGCTCCACCTCCCAGAGGCTTTTCACCGCATTTTCCATTGATTTCCTTGCCTTTGCATTCCATTCTAGCTAACACACCGCATGGTCCTTGGTTACAGTTCATGGCATTATAAACAGCAAATATAAATTGAGCTACACTTGCTCAAATGCTCTAATATTCTTAAACTGGGAAAATTGGAAATCCAGTCTTTTTATCAGAGTCTGCTTATTATGACCATAAATAACAAATATGATGTTTCAGCATACTGTCATCTTAGCAGTCCTGTCCTTTTAGTCTAGGAGTTGCAATATTTCTCCTCCATTGAGAATTTGATGTGTCATAGTCATTAACATTGAGGTTCAATATATGATGTTTGCTTATTTGCGAGATTTCTTAATAAAAGTAATAAGTCAGTATAAAGGTTTATTAATTTTTTTTTTTTTTTCTGATGATATAGAAAAATATCAACATAATTTATAGGAATTATGAAGAACAGTATAGCCTTCAGCAGCATTACAAGTTTAACAGCAAAAATACAAAACAGTCCCATGCTGTAGAAAGTTATTAGCAAGTTATGTTCAAACAAGCAGCAAAATACTTATCATTAGCATATACACATCTATATCTATATCTATATCTATATCTATATCTATATCTATATCTATATTAATATCAATATCTATATCTATCTATATCAATATCAATATCAATATCTATATCTATATCTATATCTATATCTATATCTATATCTATATCTATATCTATATCTATATCTATATCTATATCTATATCTATATCTATATCTATATCTATATCTATATCTATATCTATATCTATATCTATATCTATATCTATATCTATATCTATATCTATATCTATATCTATATCTATATCTATATCTATATCTATATCTATATCTATATCTATATCTATATCTATATCTATATCTATATCTATATCTATATCTATATCTATATCTATATCTATATCTATATCTATATCTATATCTATATCTATATCTATATCTATATCTATATCTATATCTATATCTATATCTATATCTATATCTATATCTATATCTATATCTATATCTATATCTATATCTATATCTATATCTATATCTATATCTATATCTATATCTATATCTATATCTATATCTATATCTATATCTATATCTATATCTATATCTATATCTATATCTATATCTATATCTATATCTATATCTATATCTATATCTATATCTATATCTATATCTATATCTATATCTATATCTATATCTATATCTATATCTATATCTATATCTATATCTATATCTATATCTATATCTATATCTATATCTATATCTATATCTATATCTATATCTATATCTATATCTATATCTATATCTATATCTATATCTATATCTATATCTATATCTATATCTATATCTATATCTATATCTATATCTATATCTATATCTATATCTATATCTATATCTATATCTATATCTATATCTATATCTATATCTATATCTATATCTATATCTATATCTATATCTATATCTATATCTATATCTATATCTATATCTATATCTATATCTATATCTATATCTATATCTATATCTATATCTATATCTATATCTATATCTATATCTATATCTATATCTATATCTATATCTATATCTATATCTATATCTATATCTATATCTATATCTATATCTATATCTATATCTATATCTATATCTATATCTATATCTATATCTATATCTATATCTATATCTATATCTATATCTATATCTATATCTATATCTATATCTATATCTATATCTATATCTATATCTATATCTATATCTATATCTATATCTATATCTATATCTATATCTATATCTATATCTATATCTATATCTATATCTATATCTATATCTATATCTATATCTATATCTATATCTATATCTATATCTATATCTATATCTATATCTATATCTATATCTATATCTATATCTATATCTATATCTATATCTATATCTATATCTATATCTATATCTATATCTATATCTATATCTATATCTATATCTATATCTATATCTATATCTATATCTATATCTATATCTATATCTATATCTATATCTATATCTATATCTATATCTATATCTATATCTATATCTATATCTATATCTATATCTATATCTATATCTATATCTATATCTATATCTATATCTATATCTATATCTATATCTATATCTATATCTATATCTATATCTATATCTATATCTATATCTATATCTATATCTATATCTATATCTATATCTATATCTATATCTATATCTATATCTATATCTATATCTATATCTATATCTATATCTATATCTATATCTATATCTATATCTATATCTATATCTATATCTATATCTATATCTATATCTATATCTATATCTATATCTATATCTATATCTATATCTATATCTATATCTATATCTATATCTATATCTATATCTATATCTATATCTATATCTATATCTATATCTATATCTATATCTATATCTATATCTATATCTATATCTATATCTATATCTATATCTATATCTATATCTATATCTATATCTATATCTATATCTATATCTATATCTATATCTATATCTATATCTATATCTATATCTATATCTATATCTATATCTATATCTATATCTATATCTATATCTATATCTATATCTATATCTATATCTATATCTATATCTATATCTCTGAATGTATGTATCTTTCTCTCTCTCTCTCTCTCTCTCTCTCTCTCTCTCTCTCTCTCTCCTCTCTCGACTCTCTCTCTCTCTCTCTCTCTCTCTCTCTCTCTCTATATATATATATATATGTATATATATGCACACACACGCACATGCACAGGGACACACATACACACATGTACATGCACACGTACATGTACACTTACACTTACACTTACACACACACATGCACAAGCTACATCAGCCTAGACTCAGCCTTTGTCCCACAGGTCTTGCTCTGTTGCTTTGTTATTTTATCATCATTTTTCCTCAGCACCCCAGTCTCATCATCTGCTTCCATTTCTGAATTATTCATATTTTGGGTTTCACTTCTCACGGACCACTAATATAAAATATATACACGATTTTCATATTTATGATTTCAGCATTCCTTTATATTTGATTGATGATTTGGATACTTGATAATTATCTTGCATTTTACTTCTATGTTTTGTTTGTAACCTTAGCCAACATAGATAACTATTATGATAAATTTTTCTTATTATTCCATTTTATCCTACAAAAAAAGACTCCTTCACAACTATCTCTACTTGGATATAGGACACAGAATATTACTGTTTGTTTGGCTAGAGTAAAACACATAGAGAGGTGCTATTGAATATCAGTGCAAGCATTTTTTTTTTATTTAAACAGATGCATGTGATATAATGGCAAATATAAAACAGGTACTTGCATGTGTGTTGGAGTTGGTGTTGAAACTGAGGTCATATGTCATATGTCAATAGGTTGTATTAATAGTTTTTTTGGAGTTTGTAATGATAATGTCACGTGCCCTAATCACTACATAGAAGATGGATTCATGAATATGTAAAGATACATGTGTTTTGCTAAGTACCCAGAGCCCCATTACTAAAAAAAAAAAGAAAAGAAAAAAAAATATACAAAGAAGGAAAACAAGCTCAGAAATTTGCAAATGTAAAATATCACACATCCCTTATATTCATCATTAGTTGTAATTTGATATGGATGACATCTCTGAATTGATTGACTTGTATTTCATACCTTTTACTTGCAGGTACACTGTTGCTGCAGATTGGGGAAGTGGGACGGAAAGTGAGAGAGTCGTCTTCGAAGTCCAACAGTGGAAATGTAAGATAGCAGATAAAGTCTCTAAGTATTGTAATTTTCTGTAGAGTAATGCCTCGGTCACAAAAGTATTTTAGTACAGTAAGTCCCCAACTTAAGAACAAAATGGGGACCGAGAGGCTGTTTGTAAGTTGATTTGTTTGTATGTCGAAAGTCGGGTCTCCATTACCTTTTTTCCCATTGTTTTAAAGTTTTGTTTACATTAAGAATACCTGTAAATAAATCCCAATAAGTATGACATACCTTATACAGTACCAGACTCTTGAACTATATTCGCGCCCGGGAAATTTGAAGTTTGCCAGCATCTGTCAAACAATTTTTTGGACTTTAGTACTTAAAAAATTTTGTTTGTATGTATGGAATGTTCATAAGTAGAATGTTCTTAAGTAGGGGGCTATCAGTATCACTAAATTGCTCGTATGATCCTTTTTCTGTGATGCTTGCGTTGTGTAGTTCAGAGGTACAGACTCTTTTGATTAGTTATGTTTTGTGTGTGCTATATAAAAGTAGAAAACATGAAGTAAAATATGATTTCCTCACTGAATTTCTTTATTTTCTTCATCTTGAAATGTTTCTGAAGTGTGAAGGGGATAACTATCCAGATAAGTTATCTTTTATATTTGTTTGTTATTACAAGCTCAATATGTTTTCTGTCACACTTTCAACTTACCCACATCCAGCTGCAGCTGAACGTACTATAACCCAACCCGACACGACCCAACCCAACCTAGTCCAAAAGTAACTGGCCTAACCAAACCTTACATACGTAACAGATATTGCTAGTATGTTCAAGATCCACCTAATGCAGATGTATTTAAGGATACTTCAGCCTATTCTGTCCTCCCCACAGGCAAGTGATGTAGGAGAAATGGCATCGGGAAGTGACCCAGAACTTGACAAAACTAGTGGAATAGTGTCAGACGTTTCAGCTGCGACCACTGTAGAGGGAGAGACGTGGTGTTCACAGCTGGCCAACAAAGAGGTCTCTCATGCCTCAGACAAGTGTTCGAGTAGCACCGCAGACACGCCAGAGGAACCCCAGAAGAGTTCAGGGGCTGATATAGAAGGTCCTCTCAGTGATGAAAAACAGGAGGAGGTTCAGGAGAAGGAGACACAGGACAAGACACCCAAGGAAGGTGGACACTCCCCTGATAACTTTGATGACTCAGGCCAGTCCAGCCGGCACTCCTCCCTCTCGCAGCCTTCCCATCAAGAGTGGAGTATATCCTTCGAACAGTTCCTGGCCAACATCGCCAATGAGGAGAGACTAATGTCCTTCTTCGAAAAGCCTGTCGATTTAGCGCAAGAGGTACAAAAGTTAAGAAAAAGACAGGCACTCAGCACCAATGGCATGATTGGCTCATTGGTGTCATCACCGTTGTAGAATTTTGTTTTCCATAGACATTTAAATTATATTTAGAATACTTGTATATGTATAGTCTATAATGTTGTGATTCAAGATATATGTCTTTCTCATGCTGATCTGTATAATCATTTTCTTTAGAATGTACTGATGATGTGATATAGTTAATCCCTGTGAATTAATAAAACAGATGATAAATTATGAGATACTGAAAGCAGTGTATGTATGTGAGCACTAACCATCTATATCAGTAAAACTTTTAGATCACATGGAAGAGAAGCTTTCAGTTTTATTAGTTGACTGTGACTGAAACTGCACATGACAAACCCTAATAATGTTACTATAATTAATTTCAGGTAGGTTCTACAATGTATGTTTGTCCTTGCCATATGTATTCTTTGGTTGCAGTATTCGGAAATGTTTTCAGGTAATGTCATGTATTTATCTGTAAAGTATTAGCGGGCATTCATTTTTCTTTTTATATGATATTGGTGGTTTTAGAAGAAAAAAAAATTGTTTATTGTGAAGTGTGTATGTAATGTTAGAATTAATTTTAATGCATTTTTTCTCTTTTATAGAGGTTGGGTGCAACAACAAACCTAAGTGGCAATGGTTTGCTGTATTTTGGTTTCCCTTTTTGTTCTTTGTAATAGATATGGAGCATGCTATTGCCATATCAAATGTTAAGTCTGTTTCAAAGATAGCATTTTGACTATTAAAATGGTAACTATTCCAAAGTACTAAGAAAGGCAATGCTGTTCACTGAACTTCATTAGTGGATGTGGCCTTTAGTGACACTGAACCCAGATAGGGACTTAGACAGAAAAACAGACAGACACACAGACAGGTAGGAAAACAGATAAATACCAAACAGACAGATAGAGAAGTAGATGGATAGACAGAAGACATGAGACCTTGTTTGGTGCCATGATTTGGAAACATATTGATTATTGTATTCTGTTAATTATATATGTATTTTTAATAAGTAAATTAAAAGCTAAAAAATCTGAAAAAATGTATGTGTATAGACTTCATAAAAGAATTGATTTTTTTTTTGTATGAAATTTGCCATGACGAAGGTTTTCTGCTAATGGGGAAATATGTTTTGAAATGAGGTTTTATCAAAAGCATTTTACTTTGCCATAAACAGACTTCATGATTGCTCATATATTATGTGAAATATATGGAAAAGAAAGAAAGTTAGCCCAGTGGCTTTGTGAATAAACCCTGATATACTACTAAACAAACCAAGCAAGTCAGTGGACAACAAAATTCATGGGGAAATCAGTGCAATTCAAGCAAGTTAGGTGAGCTCGTGAGGGTGCTGATGACATCCTTCCAGAACACTCGGTACTCTGGCATGTGTCTGTGGTCCCTAAGAAAGAACAGTTTGTAAATTGGAAAGCAGCAACGTCCTTCAGTGTATGACTGTCATCGATGATTGGGGCTTTCTCATAACAAAATTGTCTAACCTTTATCAAAAGCTCACTCAAAAGGTTTCCAAACCCTTTTCAAATTTTGAAGTGAATATGAAAGGGTAGTTCATGGCTAGGTTCTGCAGTACGGTTATGTTCTTAATCTTATATAAACATTTTTCATAGTTGACAGGAAAGGAAAAAAGTGAAGGACAATTTTTTTTTTTTGTCATTTTATAAATGTATTACTGTAAGTTTGCTCTAGATTTTTTAGTAAATATTGGGTTTCATCAGTAATTAATATGCAGCTTAGTTTCTGAGTTTACTATTTTTTTTTAAAGATAGTTTTATAAGTTCTTACGAAAAAGCAAAATGTTCAATAGAGAAAAATAACTTTGTATATAATGATTTCTGTCAAAAACTGATTTCTCCCTTAAGTGCATGTATACAGTCCACTGCAGTTTGTTTTATTAACTTTGATTACACATATATGGCTCCAGAATTTTTTTCACCAAATGATTAATTACTAGGCTAAGGTGAACTTGCCTGCTTAACTCATTTCTTGATTTTTAAAATACCAATAACAACAATTGAATCATTGATAATAATATTAATGGTAAAACACTTTATCAAAAAAAAATTAAGGAATGGGGTAAAGAGGTGAGATCAGTTGGGTTTTGTAATTGACTTATTGGTGACTTAAGTGTTTGTGAAGTCATCTATGTGCAAAAACAAAATTAGTAAAGCAAAACTACTGTGAACATTACGTGTATCTGGCACTAATGGGTTAAGAAACTTGTGAATTTGAATTTCCCAGTTGCTGTCTGATGATCTCATGAAATATTACTATAGGACCATTATACCCCAGATTTCATATGAGATTTCAAAATTTTATATGAGGAATGTTGATAAAATGAAAAAGGTAAAATGTGGCAGAGGAATCACCCATTGTGTTGGAAACAGATCTCTTAGTGCTTTATATAATGAAGCACCCTCAAAAAGATGCTTTTAACACAAGCACAACTCTTCAGTAGAACACAGATGTAGAAGCAAGCAGATGTAGTGATATGGCACAGAGAGGCTGTATTATCTTTGGTTCACCCACCTAATATTGTTCACTTGTGGATAGAGGTATATTTATTTAGACCATGTACCTTTTGTGAAATATGCAGGAGGTAGGACTACAGATTGACCTTAACATACATCAGTGTTTCTTATCATAAAGAGTATATTTGCTCCTGGTCTACTTTATGGTATGTTTAAAGAGTTGATGGGTGAGTACCTCCATCTGTATGATTGGTTCTTATATTGTATGATTATGTTGCTAGTGTTCATTATGGCCATTCAACATGACATTATGGATCTGATGCTGACAGTTTGACAATAGGCCAAGAAAAAATTGTGGATGATATTTAAAATGATTTTCTTCTCATTCAATACAGGATTTTGTACATATAGAATATAACAAGATGACTTTCATTAAGATTCAGTTTATTAATCAAAGGGAATGATGATAATGAAAATGACACTGATTTTATTTAATACATGTAGGATAACGAAACCCTCCCAGATAGGCAAATGTTGCAGAAGAATACTGAATTTCTGTCTTGTTATGTGTAGTATATGAGTTAGATATATTCGTAATATATAAATGCATATATATTTTTAGTAATAATGATTTAATAATGTTCAAAAAGTTTTACTGTGGTGCTCATCAGATCATTTTGAAAACTTGATTGCAATTAATTGTGCTTTTGATAACAGTCTTAAACTAATGGGTTATGTAAATAAGTTTGTTACAAATGCATGATGAATTCAGAAATTATTTTTGCCTTCTCTACAGAAAAGAAAAACAATGTATGGTTGTGATTATACATTGACAAACAACTACTGAAAGATCCTTTGTGTTGTGAAGAAATGTATTTACATATATATACACAGACATCTTTATTAGATAACATTATAAGTTGCATGCCTTGAAAGTGGGAGAAGGAATATGGATAATATCATAGTGTTAGAGCAAATGTCATGTGCCACAGAATGCAGTTGACAGATAACTCTAGTATTTTACAGTTGTACAGTTTCATGAATCCCTTTGTCCTCGTCATTGAGAAGATGCCAGTGACCATGTATCGACTTTTTAGCTGATTTTTTTTATTCATGCGCATTGAGTTTATTGGCCGAATTATATAATACAATTGTATTTAATTTTATTCACTAATGATTTATTTAAAAGTAAAGAATTCTGTGAATGTAATAATTGTCAAAGTTTTTCTTTATACACCATTAATTTTATGATGATAACAGGAATTATTATGGAAACTAGGATACTCAGAGTAGATTAATTTCACTAATGGAGAATCATGAGCATTTATTTTTTTATTGCATATTAGCATAGAAAGAGGGGGGGGAAATGTGACTGTCTATAGCGACTTCCGTATAATAACGTTCTTATTTTGACTTAATATCAATAATGTCCTCAGTGCTTTTGAGCAGAAATATCTAAAATATTGTAGAAGTCTTTTGTCTGGCAATAAATTTTATAACTGCTGTTACGTTGAAATAAAAGTTTGTTAAGTATAATGCTTAAACTATCTTGATTAATAAGGCTTTTAAATATCTGATTTATTAGGTTATTTCCAATTGTATATCTTTTATCTATATTACAGTTATATTGAGAGTGTATCTGTGTAAGCATGTGTAGGCCTGGTTTATAAAGATAGTTTTTCATATTAATATGAATAATGAACAATGAACAAAAAGTTCCTTAGATCTTTAATACTAAAATTTCATAATGGATTTGTACCTGAAATTTTAGCATGACAAAGCACCACACCATAATAAATAATTTAAAATAATGATGTAGAATTTTTTATGCTAATTCATTAACCATATCCTACTATTCAGGTTTTCAAAGACCTATTTCACCCATAATGAACAAAGTGAAAATGTAATTATTTACTAGCATATGAAAAGAGGAAGTACATGTAATAAGATAAAAGTCTGTTACTTTCCATAAAGACAATAATGAAATTTATGTTTTGTAAACATTAAAAAGATATTTGCTAACCCAGTAGATTCAGATATTATTTAGGTTTAATAATGAATTTCTAGTTTTTCACCATAGAGCATAGATTATCTGGTATGGGTGACAGTGAAGAATCCTGCAAAAAGATTTAACATGACTACTTTTTGCATGTGCATGGTGTTAGTTTATTAGCAAAATACTGATATGTTTATTTGTTTCGTATGTCATATTTATTTGTAGCATGTCTCTGAATGTAGCCTATTTGATTATTTTTTCTCTACTAATTTAGAAAGGTTGCAATATTAAAGGAATTTGTAGATTGATTTTAAACATGAAAATTCAGTTAAGATCTACCTTACTATGATATTATAAAATCTATATATTGTACTACTGAATATTAACTTTAACAAATGCAGGAATGTGTACATAAAGATAAAAGGAAACAGCCACAATATAAAAAGAAATTGAGTGTAACTTTTTTGAACTTGTTCAGAGTTCCTCCTCAGATGAATAACTAAATAACTAAATAAGTAAAAATGTTATGTTCAATTTCTTTTAATATTGTGGCTGTGTTTCCGTTTAAGTGAATCTTAGTTGTGCACTTATTTTGGAAATAATGGATGTATTTAATTAATATGTCTATTTCAGAAGAAAAAAAAAATGTTGCATTAAATTTGTCTGAAATATAAAGTTTAGAATTTTGAGCAATTGCTGTTAGATATAACAGACAAAGCATATGCATTTTTGTTCATGAATTTTTCTTGGCATTCTATCATCAGGTTAATAGGTTTCTGCTGCTGACAGTTAATTTTGCACTTCTTGACAAGCATTTAATGACTGCATAGCATTTCTCTTCACTTCTAAACTGGTTTTAATTGCATTATATGATTTAACAAAGGAAAAAGTAGATTATATTTTTGATGGCAAAGTCTATGTTTGTGGTGCCAAGTATATCAGATTTTTTTTTTCTCCAAATCATGTAATATTTAAGAAAGCATTTGTATTTCCTTGGAATAATTTGGAGTCATTTATTTGAATTATGATTTTTTATGTTCAATAATATATGATATATATGTGTGTGTGTGTATATATATATATATACATATATATATATATATATATATATATATATATATATATATATATATATATATATATATATATATATATATATATATAAACACACATACACACACACACACACACACACACACACACACACACACACACACACACACACACACACACACACACACACACACACACACACACACACACACACACACACACACGTATATACATACACATATATACATACACATATATATCTATATACTCGCACACACACTTAGCATCATATATTTAGATTGTGATTTTTTTTACATTCAACATTATATATATGTATGTATATATATATGTATATATATATATATATATATATATATATATATATATATATATATATATATATATATATATATATAAGAATTATAGATAAGCTGGTGCATCAGAGTGATATGCAAGTGCTTTATTATGTGGCATATGTGTATTGCAGCTTAGTGAGTAAGTGTTAAATCTTCAGTTTTTGCGTAATCATAGCTATAGATGGAAAGATTACATATATTTTCGATATGGCTTTGTGATCATGAAATTGGTAGAGGAAAGTAACATGTTATTCAGCATTATGATTCTATATTCTATTTTTTATGGTTTGTTAACTGGTATTCCATAATAGATACACTTTGATAGATGGTTACAGATAAGTCTTACACAGAGAGAAACTACTTATTCAGATGATATGTACACTGGAAGTACATTTTTTATTTTCACTGAGAAGTTTAGATTATCGGTTTTATAAATATAAAAGGATAATACAATAATTGACTTTCGTTTTGTGTAAATGCGACTTTATAAAGAAGAAGGAACATGTGTGCATTAATGTATTGTGTGTATGATATGTAAACACTTCTGCAAATATACATATACATGTTGTAAGGAGATGCAAGTGTGATACATATGTACATTATATCAAATTCCATTTCTGTGACTTTATATTGAAAATAATAAAAAATATATGTAAACATATGTGCCACAATTATTTTCTCTTTTGCCTAATCCAGTTTTCTTGACTGAATCCATATTAAAAGTGCTGTTATTTTTCAAAATCACTTATGATTTTGATCAGTATGAAATGGGAATAATAGGAATAATAATAATAATAATAATAATAATAATAATAATGATAATGATAATGATAATGATAATAATGATAATGATAATGATAATGATAATGATAATAATAATGATAATGATAATGATAATGATAATGATAATGATAATGATAATGATAATGATGATGATAATAATAATAATAATAATAATAATAATAATAATGATAATAATAATAATAATAAAATGATAGCAATACTACTACTACTACTACTACTGATAATAATAATAATAATGATAATAATAATAATAATGATAATAATAATAATAAAATAATAATAATAATAATAATAGCGAAGATAACGACAATGATTATCTTAATGGCTCATATGACTAATGATAACTACAGCAATAATTATAAAAAATGACACACTATCAGTAATAATTGCAAACGATATTTATTTTATAGACCAGTACCACGCAGTTTACAGAAGTTTTCCTGCAACTTAATAAAAACTCAACATTAATTCCACAGAAAAATGGTGATCATATTAATAATAACGGTAAGTATAATAGTAATAATGATAATCAGAATACTAAATATAATAACCTTACTACCATTTTCATTTCTACAATTGATAATAACGTTCTTAATGATAATAACTACAATCATGATAATAATGAATAATAGCAGTAAAAACACCAATAAAATTAGCAATTAGCATAATGGTGACAAAGACACTAATTGCAATTACTAATGAGGATGAGGATGGATATTAATAATGCTGATAACAGTTGTAAGATAATAAGGATATAATACTGTTAACAACAATGATAAAAATAGCAAAAAAGATAATAACAATTTAATGATGATGATGATAGTAATAATAATAATGATAATAATAATAATAATAATAATAATAATAATAATAATAATAATAATAATAACAATAACAATAATAATAATAATAATAATAATAATAATAATGATAATAATAATAATAATAATAATAATAATAATAATAATAATAATAATAATAATAATAATATTAATAATAATAATAATAATAATAATAATAATAATAATAATAATAATAATGATAATGAAAATTATAATAATAATGATAATGATAATGATAATAATAATAATAAAAATGATAATAATAATAATAATAATAAAAAAGATAATAATATTATTTATAATAATAATAATAATGATAATAACAATGATAATAATGATAATAACAATGATAATAATGATAATTACAATGATGGTGATGATAATGATAATGATAATAACAATGGTAATGATAATAATTATAACAATAATAATAATAATGACAATAATAATAATAATAATAATAATAATAATAATAATAATAATAATAATAATAATAACAACAACAACAATGATGATGATGATGATGATGATGATGATGATGATGATGATGATGATGATGATGATGATGATGATGATGATGATGATGATGATGATGATGATGATGATCATCATCATCATCATCATCATCATCATCATCATCATCATATATATGATGATGATGATGATGATGATGATGATGATCATCATCATCATCATCATCATCATCATCACCATCATCATCATCATCATCATCATCATAATAATAATAATAATAATAATAATAATGATGATGATGATAATAATTACCACAATCATCAGAATGATGATGGTGATAATGATAATGATAATAAGAATATAATATTAATAATAATAGGGATAACATTGATAGTAAAAATAATTATATGATAATAATAGTAATAATGATAATAACACTAATAATAATAGTAATGATAATGGTGTTAACTACCAAAAAAAAAACAATGACAATAACAATAACAACACTAATAACAGTAATAATAATACTATTTCCAAAGGCAAACACATTTGTCTTTTTCAAAGTGACGTCATAGTAAAGTTGAAAAAAAGCCATTTGTTTTTAAATTCTCATAGTCATGCCACTTAAAAAAAAATATACATATCCTGGTATGGTTAAAACTTGAAATATTCAGAATTATCCAACACACAAAGAGTATAGAATATATTATCTAGGTATGTATGCATTGGTGTGTTTGTGTGTATGTAAAAGCGTGTCTGTGCGTATATGTACGTACGTTTATGTGCGTGTTTGTGTGTACATCTGTGTACATCTGTGTATACATCAGATTATAAGCATAATTTCCGCTTTTTTCCAGTCTATGAATTACCAGGTGGCAAAGAACATCAATTGCAAGCAGTTTTGCTGGAAGAAGTAAATGAAATTTGAAAAAAAGGACAACGGATGACAGGACAGAAATAATGAACCGGCTGTATGATGGGAGATATTTTTCTGAATTTCATGGAATGTACTGTACGAGTGGTCGGTTTTATTTCATGTTTGCAGTTTTGTAAGGATTTATTCACGTGAACTTTTTTTCCCTATGCTCCTCTCTTATCTTTCTCGTTCTGTTTGTTTGTTTGTTTGTTTGTTAGTCTGTCTGTCTGTCTGTCTGTCTGACTGAATTTCTGTCTCTCTGGCTCTCCCCACTCTCTCTCTCACTCGATTAATAGATAGATAGGTATCTAGATAGATTGACTAATAGATAGGTGTGTGTGTGTGTGTGTGTGTGTGTGTGTGTGTGTGT